TATGTCAAGTGAACTCGGTGGCGCCGGATAGATCAAACGGTGGGGCCGAGTTTGACTTTAGGTTTAGGACATATGTGGAAATGAGAAAGTGGTTGAGGGATTTGGAGCATATCACTAAGCATTTTGAGCAAGTAGACCATTAAGCAACACCTCATCCCTTTTAATAGTATTGACTTTTCCTATGGACTCAATGTGATCTTGGATCACTTATAAATGAAGAGTCTTGAGCTTTTGCCAATATGTGTCCTTAGCATTTTGAGGGGTCCACATCTCTATTCCATGCCATGCCAATCATTGAACTTTCTGAAACATTAATCTTGAATGGATATTAGTTCAATGAGCTATATGTTGTTATGAATTACCAAAACCATCCGGGGATTAGTTGCACTTTCAATCTCCCCCTTTTTGGTAATTGATGACAACATATAGATCAAAGCTTCGACAAGTGATAATATAAATGAAGTACACCGTGGCTTTGAGAATTATGTGATAAGCAAGAGCTCCCCCTAAACTTGTGCATTATTTAAAATTTTCTTTCGAATGCAAATGCACAATGGATTAGGATCTTGGTGGAGCGCTCAAAATGATAGAATTAAGAAATATGCACTCATCACCAAGGCAAAACATGAATGATCATACATAAGAGATAAAATATCATCATTCAAGCACACATTAAAGCATAATATGATCAAACACATGATCATAAGAGTATCTCACATACAAGCACAAATAATGTAGCAACTAAACAAGCAAGTAACAAGTAGCAAGAGAGGAAAATAAAGCAAAACACACTCTCTCTCGAAGCCTATGATCTATACACTTTCTCTCCCTTTGGCAACAAGTTACCAAAAAGCTTGAAAATGCATAGTGCTATGCGGCTTTCTAAGCACGATCTCTGGGAGCTCCGGTGTGCGAAGGTGGCATGGAGAGGATTCCTGCAACAAAAGCATCTGAGGAGGTCTATGGAGCTGGTGGAGTTGCAACTGGAGAGGCAACTGGGGTTGTAGCTGCAGGTGCTGAAGTGGTAGCTCTAGTGTCACTGGCTGGCACAGCTGCGGACCTTTGTGCCCTTGGCACTCTCTGAAAAGCATAAGTGGTAGCTCTCCCTCTTCTTTCCTCTGCTTCTTCTTGAAGTTGCTCAACTGTAGTCTGGATCTCTGTGACTTTCAGGTCTAGATCATAAAATTTAGTTTCAATGATCCTCTCAAGACTTTCTTGGTTTTGAGTCGGGGTTGCTCATCCTTTCTCAATTCTCATTCTGGCTTCAAGCAGATAGCTAAGATAATCCTGCTTGGTCTTGAGGTGTACAGCTGAGGCATCTGGAACGTTTGATGTCTGTGCTGCCTTCTCTGCCTTTGCTTTCTCCCTCTTCTCCTAAGCCTCTACTGATGTTGGATGTGATGCATCCATGACAATCTCATTGTCCTCAAACTCAGGCCTCAGGGAAAGGTGCAATTTGTCCAAAAGATATGTGCATGTGCCCATCTTAGAGTTGATGAGAATCTGAATGTGTGGGTCATAACCACATGATCTCTTCTGATCTGCAACAGTCCTCTTGACTGTTTCAACAATCAAGGTCATCACCTTGCACTTTTCAGGCACATCAAGCATATGCAACAAGTTGATTGAGTGCCCTCTAATCATTCTATCATCTCCTAATTTGGGCAACAATGTAAATCTCAAAATGGTGTTGATAGTGGGCATCCCTGACATCAGATAGTATATGGAGCCAAATTTGTGAGTCTCCAAGGCAGCATCAGGAATCTACTTGTACATGTGTGCCATGGAGTTGTGTCATTTCCTGGGCTTGGCATATACATCTGTGTCTTCTACATGTTCTCCAAGGGCATCGATTAGCTTGGCCCACTCAGCAACAGAAGATTGGTACCTTGTACCCTCAGTCATCAAGACAATCCTTCCATCTGGGCAAAAATGTGCAGTCGAATAGAATTGCATCACCATCTCATCATTCCATTTTCTAAGTTCCTAACCAACAAACTTATCAGCTCCAGTCAATCTGAAGCTATCATGCGCTCCTGGGAAATAATCAGCATTGTCATCAATGTATGACCAATCAACCCATCTCATGTCAGTGACAATGGGCTTCTTGTCCAAAAGTACTGTCTCATAGAAGTCCCGCTGCTCCTTGGTGTGGAACCTACAATCCACATCAGTCCTTCTCCTGGTGGCATATGGGTCTGTCTGTCTCCATAGCCTAAGACCTGCATCTTTCCTCAACTTCATATTTTCTGCAACAGGATGTGTATCATCATGATCTGGAATCTTTGGTTTAAGTTTCCTGAGCACTTGGTCTTCTTTTTCTTCTTCAACTTCAGGCACTGGGGACTTGTTCTTCTCAGCAGCTGGGATGTTCCTTGTAGATCTCTTAGGTGTTGTTGGCTTAGAAGCTTATGCAGCAGCAGCAGCCTTGGGGGCAGTCTTGGGCTTAGATGGAGCAGCCCCTGACTTGATTGCATCCCCCATCAGCTTCTGGGTTTTGGCAGGAGGTGCAACAAGCTATTCCTCCTCCTCTTCATCAGATTCCCTGACCATAGATGGCCTTCCAATCACTCTGGCCATGGTCTTCTTGACCCTTTCCTTTCTTTTCTTGCCCCCAGCAGCCTCCTCTTCCCTTGTCTCAAGGGTGAATTCCATTGTTTCATGAGTTGAGGCTATGGCTTTGGACATTGGGATCCTCTTGGCAAGTGCCTTCTTCTTCATGCCAGGCTTGGTTGAAGCTGCAGTGCCAAATTCTTTCTTGACAACTTTCTTCTTTGAGGTGACTTCCTCATCAACCACAAAGTCCTCATCTTCTGTATCTGAGGTTTTCTTCTTCCTCTACCTGGTTGTAGCCTTAGGAAGATGGCTTTGGGTGCTTCTACTACCCTCCTCAAAACTACTGTTTGAGGGGCTAGTGCCCTCACTCGGGTGTGCCTGCTCCTCAGATCTGTTCTGGCTATCATTGTTGTCCGACATAGCTGACACTAAAAGTTGAACCTGTGAATAGATAGGTTGAGATAGAGTGGATGAGGATCACAAAGTACAGATATTTTGCAAAACAAATGAGTCAAAAAACTTAGTTTCAGTTTTCTACAGAAATTATTTCGGAGCTACCGATATGTCAAACTCGGTGACACCGAAGCAAATTTAGAGTCTAAACATGTGAAATTGGTCAAACCGAGGCATAATTCAGTGACTCTGAGATTGCTAGGGTTTCACAGAGAAATGAACTCGGTCACACTGATTTGTATGTTTCGGCCAGACCGAAAAATACATGTGCAATGGCCTGTGCCAAATCGGTGAGACCGAATTCTCCAAATCGGTCAGTCCGAGATGAGTTTGGCGGAGACCTAACCATAAGTTTTTGGATCAAAACTAATCTAGAGGAAGTTCTGGTTGGATAGAAGGATCTCAAACATGGCAGGAATCATGGCATTGTCCTTAGTGCAAGAATCAGAGTTAAAGGTTGCACAAGGGGTCGAGTTCATATCCTAACTTGGCGGTGAACTCGCTATGGCGACAATGGCGGTGAAGATTCTCATTGACGGCAGCGGAGACCAGCGGCAGGAGGTCGCTGGCGATGGCTGAGACGATCCGGAGGCCACGAGTCGGCAGAGCTGGACAGGCGCGGGCGAAGGGTTTGGAGAAATTTCCAAATTTTCAGCCCGTGGGTATATATAACTCTGTCGGTGTGACCGAGTGGAACAACTCGGTGGCACCGAGATGCCGAATCGCAAGCGGTTGCTTCAACTCGGTGTGACCGAAAAGTTCAAATCGGTTGCACCGAGATTGAAACCTAGATCAACTTAATGAACTCGGTATGACCGAATGGAATGAATCGGTCGGATCGAAATACACTAAGAGGTTTTGGAAGTTTAAGTCTATGACGAATTAGTGGCTCTGAGTGCTCCTCACCCAGAGGTTTCGAATATGATTTGATCAAACTTTGTGATGTAGCATGAATAGAGTTTGAGACGAGAAAAGCATAGATAGCTAGAGGGAGTACTTAGGCATTCTGGTCCATCCATTTGGCAAGAAGAAAAACCAAACAATCAAAGCAACAAATGAATGTCCTCGAATGGAGAAAATTATGCAACCAACATGCTCACACAATAAGATAGCAAATGAAATATGTGGCAAAGCATGCACAAACACTCTAGCATCTATCAAACAATTGGCGATGACTAGGTCATCTATATATGAGTATATTGACTTAGAAGTCAAATGAGAACAGTTGATCATAGGTCATACTCGATCATCGTTTAAGCACAAGTGGGGTTACTACTTTTACAGAAAGCATTGTTGTGTTCACACCATTAGAGTTGCGAGCTCACTTATTAGAGTGAAGCTCCCCCTAGATGTGATATCCCCTTTTAGAGGGATGAACTAACCTTGGGTTTTGTCGAGGATGAATTCATAGTTAGGTTGTGCCCGGACCCGAGTCCCCACATCCGCTTTTATCCGCCCTGCAGCCCGAGCAACACAACATTAGCCCCCCCCCCCATTCTATGCTGACCCGGGCCGGGGCTCGCCTTTTGGGAAGCCCGTTCACACCGCGGTCCCGGCCCGGCTGGCCTGCCAGTAGTAGTGGGAATTGTCCCGTTCCCTGGTCAAAAAAGGGTTGGTTGGATGCGGCATCTACTCCACAAGGAGCAGTACAGACGTAGATGATATCACCACGACCTCTCTTTGCATACCGCTAGGGATGCTTAACGCCACTTCGCCAACTGGCATTACCTGCGCTTTCGTATCTCTCAGTGTGGTCAGCACTGGGTGTTTCCGAGCAGCGAGGCTTACACCGATTCGCATTAATTCATCCAAAGTTCCTTACCCTTATGCACAAATTTTGGAATAAGCCATCTTCCTATCAAGGTTAAGGAGTCAACTGAGCATCTCACCGGTGGTATTGAATACCCGGATTGAATCAGAATTCACGCCGCCCGCCCTGAACAAATAGAATAGGAGGCATGGGCCACAGGTCGCACATAAGCCATTGGGTCTCACGACAGAAGAATACCCAACATAAAGATGCACACTCCTCCATGTGAAATAGAAAGATTCATCTTCACTTTTTTGTAGTAGTCGTGACCAACAGCCATCAGCAGTCGGCTCGTTGGTAAGGCGAGAGCTTCAAGCCCGCTTTCTAGTGGCACACCCCCAAACAAGCACCACTCAACGAGGGGAGGGGGGCTACATGCCCAAAACCTTCGACCCTTCTTTCTATATGGGGGGTGCCCGGGGCACCTCATCTTGTCATTTCGTTGCTCATTCCCCTTAGGCCGAAGTGTTAGGCCTTTACTTCGGAGCACCCGCTCACGCTTCGCTGAGCTATCACGTGGTAAAGAGAAGAGGGTACGAAAGAATTGTAAACAGAGCAGATCACAGAAAGATTCTAAATATGACAAGTCCCCCATGGATTCGATAATAAGGAAATAAAAAACGGGAATGAAATGAAATAAAGCATTTCTAGCGGATGAGCTTCTCTCATTTTGTCTCATAATAGAATAGGGCGGCTTGCTTTGACCAACACTCCACTTTTTGCTCTGTCCATGGAGCGTATGAATTTCCTTAAATGTAGATAGACCAAAAGGGGAATAAAGGGATAGGAATAGGAATTATAGTACCATTGGAAGAAGAGGCACCAGCGGGAACATCTCTACTGACGAACCATTTCAATAGTACGGGTGCTGCCGTGCCACGGGGCACGACCATGGAAGTAATGAAAAAGAAGAAGTTCTATAGTTGGACCATCTGCTCTATCCGTTCGATTTGAGCTTCTCCAGAGAAGATGAGACGCTAAAAATGAAAGTGTTCGTAATGCATACCGAAAAAGGGTACCTATGTTGCCGACCATTAATGACTAGTTCAAAGACCAGGAGCAGGGGCACGTGCCAAGAAAGATTTGTTACTTTCCCTTTGGTTTTTGAATGTTTTCAATAAAACCTTCTCGTAGAAGTATTTTCACAAAGTTTTCGGTAATATTAGTAGATGCTATTCGAGCCCTTCCTTTTATTAAGATTAGAATTCTTATTCTTATTATTATATAATTATTCTTTTTTTCATGTATATGCGTCAGACACAATCTACTAATTGATCTATATTCTGATATACCCTACTATATCATAGTCTCTACTACTAGTATTTTTAATACCTTAGGAGCTCATGAGACTCTTTTAGTGAAATTCGTAAGTCTCAATTCTCGAGCGATCGCACCAAAAACTCGAGTTCCTTTTGGATTTCCTTCTTGATCAATGACAACCGTCATCATATCGTATTATTGTACCGTTGTCACATTTGAGTTCTTTACATGTATGTACAATTACAGCTCGTCTTACTTCTGTCTGATCTTTCTAGAGGCATTTTGCGCACTGCTTCTTTGATTACAACAACAATAACGTGACCAATATGAGCATATCAGTGATTACCAGCTCCTAAGATTCGAATACATATCAATTTGATAGCCCCACTCCGTTGTTATCCGCTACATTCAAAAGGGTCTGAGTGAGATGGATCTTGGAAGTCTGTTTTTTAATTGGATAGTGATCTCGGGCACGAGTGGTTGATCTTCGCGGGCCATGAATGACCATGGGATGGAGTATTGATGTCAATATGTTCGATCGACAAGATTGGACGATGAAAGACAGTTCCTTTGTGGTTTGAATAATACGCTATGGTCTTGACATTGGGCTATGGGCTGATTGCTTTCTGTATGAGCCTCTTGTGATTGGGCTCTCGTGGGCGGATTACCCGATGTGTACTCATCTTCCAACAAAGAGGAGAAGACATAATCATAAGAATTGTGAGAAATAAGTCAATTTATCATGTTGAGGCATTTCAGTTTGGATTTCAAATAAGAAAGACAGAAAAAGATTCATGCGCCCTCGAGAGCATTTTCTTGCACTTGCATTTCTTCCTGAAGTTATTACTCAAGCGTGCTGAGGCAACTATGAACTAAGCTCAGGGGAGGGGTAGTAGGTATGCTTCAAACCCTCCGGCACCTTGAAGAACGATGGCACTAGATCGGGGAAAGATGAATGACCAATGAGGACATGACAATGGGGGAAGTTGGTAATAGAGAATCTTCCCTTCTTCTTTGCTTTCTTGCCTGAAAAAATCCAAAACTAACCATTGGAACCTCATGGGCTACCGAGTTAGGAGGTTCATTTTATTTATTACTTTTACTTTTTTTACTAAGTTATTCTAAAAGATAAGAGCTAACCGACCATCCTGATTGAATGTTTGAGTACTTGGAGTCTCTCGTAAGTATGGAAAGAAAATCTCTTCTTTCCACAACTCCTAAATTTCCCATCAGCCTATCCATTCTAATTCCAGATACAGTTAGTAAACCTTACTTTAGTGTAGGTAGTGTCAGATAATTAGGAAGTCTTGATAGTCCTTCGGATAATCTCTTCTTCAATCCTAGGAGCAAAAAAGGAATGTCCTTTAGGGACCTTTGGATACCAAGATTTCCGATCTCTTACTTTCCTAGTTATGAATTGCGAGCATAATCAGTTATGAAATAAATAAGTATATGTCCCTCATCCCTATTGGTATCGGTTTGGGCCACTACCCAGAACCCTACCAGAGCCCTATTTTAAGAAGAAATTGACAGTCTTTTTTAAACTAGAACTATGGTAAAATCCAATATCGACAGGCCTAATTCTTTTCCTTTGCTTATGCAAGGCAAAAATTTGTTGAGTTCAATCAGTACAACAAGAAATCCTAAGTATTTTTTTGGGTCAAGCGACACCCAGATTTAAACTGGGGATAAAGGATTTGCAGTCCCCTGCCTTACCGCTTGGCCATGCCGCCAATTACGATCCAAAATCGAGCAAAATCTTATTCATCCACATTATTTTACTAATTTTTATTCGTAGGAGGGGATTATTAAACCCTTTTTGATTTTTTTAGATCGTTGAATCCCTTTGTACTTATCCCTTTCCAATTCCTTTTAATAAATTCATTCCTGTTTTTTATTGGGCCCAGTTTTATTCTCTTCGATTGATTGTATCTCAAAACATACATCGCTTAAATACCTTCTCTTTCTATTGAAAAGAGCAAGGATTTCTAGTCACAGACTGACAAATTTAGGAAAAATTGGAACCATTAACTATATTATTTGTTATTTTGATATTTTCTATTTGTTAGTAGTGAACGGTTCTAAAATGGGTATTGTATCCCAAATAGTGGTTCCTTAATGGCATAACAAAATCAAATTGATTTACGGCTAATGAGTATCAATTAAAAAAGAGAATTATGATACTGCTATAGTGTGACCTGATCCCTGTTGCTCCAAGTGAAATTCTTTCTAGGGTTCTTAAATATATTCTCCATTTTTTTCCCTTTCCCTACAATAAATCTTTTGCCTTTGTTTCAAAAACAAAATCTGCATATCATTTGGCTAATATTTTCACAGAGTCCCTTCATCAAATCAATGCAGGCCATGTCATATGTAGGAATAGCTTGCGTAACCGTTTTTATCAAAATTACTTTACCGTTCTTTGATAGGAGCACATGCAAATATGTTGCCTTCCCATCATGTATGCGGCCGAATAATCCTTAGAATGCACGTTCAGCAGCCCTATAGCGTCCTTGACCGACAACTGTAAGCCCATGTGCTCGTAGGTGTTTTAGCCCATCAGGCATGTGCCATGCAAGGGCTCCCCTACGGGAAAATCCATGCACAGGGCGCGCCCGACTGGGCCGGCCCAGCCCATTTTGAGTTGAACAAACCAAGCTGTCCGGCGAAAAAAATCACAAAAAACCGGCGAAAAAAATCGCAAAATCAATGAGCTGCGCAAGCTCAGATTCGAACTTGAGACCTGCTGTTAGCGAATGTGCCCTGCTAACCAGTCCACCTATTGAACATTATTGCCAATTCTAGCAGAGTGAACAATAAAGTACTATATTTACTGGCGTAAGCGGAACATTACTTAAAACCTTGCAAACAATGTTTCAAATTTAGAACACTTTAATTAAGTTAGGAATATTTTTTAACACACGCGAACGAATTCAAAATTTTCTCATCATCATTTGAAGCTATCAAGAAATTTTCAACTTCCTGAACATTTTTTGTAAAGGTGAACTCGAAGAGTGGAACTTAGTTTGAAATTATAAACAATTTGTCTAAAACATAAACATTTTCAAAATTACCAAAACATTTTTGAAAACCTGAACATTTTTCAAAATTCCAGAACATGCTTTGAAAACATGAACATTTTTTGAATTGGTCCACAAAATTTGAAAACGGGGACAATATTTTAGATTCAGAACAAAAATTATAAAAATGAGAACGAATGGAAAATCCTGATTTGTTTTGGAAATGAGAAAATTTGGGAAAAGCTTGCACGTTTGCTGAAATTCGTGAACAATTGCTTTGAATTTGTGAACAACAATAAAAAGATGTGAATTTTTTTTATATTCCCAAACAGTTTTGGAATTTGCAAACAAATTTTCAAGAACAAGAACATTTATGAAATTTGTGAACAAATTTTCAATATAGGGACATTTTTTGAAAATCATAAACATTATCTGAATTTGTGAAAAAAAAGCATAACATGCAAATATTTTTACAATTTAGAATTCTATTAGTTTTAGATTTTGAAACATTTTTTGTAAAAGAAACAAATAATATTTGAACCTCCAAACATTAGAATTTGTGAACAATTTTAGAAAAACAGGAAAACACTAAATTTTGAAACATTTTTTGTAAAAGAAACGAATAATAAAGGGACGTACTAAATTTGGAATTTCAAACATTTTTCAAAAAGACGAACAAACAATAGAAACCACAAAAGTATTTTGAATTTTTGAACAATTTTAGAAAAACAGGAACATGTTTGAAATTATGAATAAATTTTGTAAGCCCGCATATCATTTGAAACTCCCCGAAATGTTTTTGAATTTGTGAACAAATTTTAGAAACAAGAATATTTTTTTAAATTGTGAACAAAAATTTGAAACCACAAACATTTTTTGAAATTTATTTTTTTTAAACCACAAAACAGGAAAAATTTCTAAATAAGGAATATTTTTAGATTTTGGAACAGAATTTGAAAACAGAAAACATTTATGGAAAAAGAAAAATTAAAATGAAAAATTAAAAATAAAACCCGGCCACAAAGAAAAAGAAAAAAGAAACAAAAAACCTGATAAAAAGAAAAAAATAGTTCTAGGAACCTTCTGGAATGGGCCGGCCCATTCGCGCGGATCGGCCGCTCGCCTGTGCGTTTCTCCGGCAACTTACCGCAATGAACGGCAAATAGAAAAGTCCGGAAAATCGTACTTGACGCACGCTGCGTCAAGTTGTCTAGCTTTCACACAGAAGTTTGCCAGCTAGGAATGATTTGGGCCGCCCACCCACCGCATCTGCCATCCCGGTTTTGGAAACCTTCCAGGAGGTTCCTGAACCAGTTTTCTCCAGTTTTGGGAACTTTCTAAAAGGTTTCTGAATAGGATTTTGCTGTCTCACTTTTTTCCTACTTCTTTTTTTTATTTTCTTTCCTTTTTGTCTTTCTTCTTCTTTCTTTTTTTCTTCTTCGTTTTTATTTCTAAAAATTATCGTGTTTCTTGGAAATTCTTCACGTATTTATAAAAAAGTTTGCTTTTAAAAAAATTTGGGGGTTTATCTTTTTTCATTTTTAAAAAATATTTGTGTTTCCAAATATTGTTCACGTTTTCAAATTTCTTCCGTAGTTTTAGAAAAATGTTCGGGTTTAAGAAAATGTTTCTTTTTCAGTAATTTTGTTTCTTTACTTCATTTTCTATTTTTTGTTGTAATTCCTATTTTTTCTCTTTCTTGTTTTTGAGAATTTCAAATTTTATTCAAAAATTCAAAAAGATGTTCAGAAGTTAAAAAATTGTTCCTGTTATTATCTATTGTTCACAAATTCAATAAGAAATTCTCCATTTTTCATAAAAATGTTCGCATATTTAGAAAAAAAGTTCACCTTTCAAATATTCTCCATTTTTTATAAAAATGTTCGGGTATTCAAATTTTGTTCAGCGGTTTGAAAAAATGTTCCTCTTTCATAATTCATTCTCAATTTTAAGGAAATGTTCTCGTTTTCCAATTTTGTTTGGTAGTTTCAAAAAATGTGTCCATTTCAAAATTTGTTCACAATTTCAAAACTGTGTCTGTTTCTAATTTTGTTTGGGAGTTTCAAAAAATGTTCGCAAATTTTCCAAGTCCGGTTGTAGACGCTCTAACTAGCATATGCATTGTATCCTGCTTCTACTTCGAAATATTAAGTTGATGCTTTTTTCCTTACACAATGGTTTGTAGTTTTCCTGTGTATAATGTATTTTTGTACATAAAGAATTCCTAGTTAATTGTATTATGTGCAAACCATCATACGTGGATTGTTTTTTATAAGCCGAACTGTATGTTTTGCATAGTATGGTAATTAACAATTTTTTTGCCTGTTTTATTGTGTTCTTTGAAAAAACAAAAATAACACAACTCCTGGAGTAAGAGATTCACAAGCTCCCTAAACTTGAAAACATCATAATGTTCATGTCTTTTGATGACTTCTGCTAGGTAAACGCGTCAGCTGTGATATCAATTACTCCAATCTAAAAAATTCTAGATGTGCATTCTATTAGTTTTGCCATGTAGTCTACTAAAATGGCATGTGTGATCTGCTTATTGTTTGGTATTTTCTAGTTGGTAGGTTTCTATTACTAGATTTTCTCATGTACTCTGATGGATTTGCTTTCATTCTAGACATTTCTTTCTAACAATGTGCTTGCTATTGACAGCAGCGAGGCTACAGGAGAATCAACAAAGCAAGGGCCAAATTGAAAATATGCATCTTGGGGGGGGGGGTGCAGGCTATGAGCGGGCTTCTAAAAGCTTTTTCGTTCAGTAAATATGCTAGGACTATTGGGGGGGGGGGCAGCGCCCCCTCGGAACTACATGTACCTCTGCCACTTTCATCCTAGGTTTCCTTTGGCGTCAAGTTTCTTGGCTTGATCGCATTGTCGTCCACCCCCACTCTGGTTCTGGGGCGATGCGTGAAGTGAACTAAACTCGATCAGTATAGCATCGAGTTTGACGAGGAGGGTGATGAACCCTCTCCTCGGCAAGCTCACTAAGCTACTCGGCGAGGAGTACAAGAACCTCACGGGGTGCGGAAGCAGGCCTCCTTCCTGTAAGACGATCTCAGCGCCAGGAAAGCTCTCCTTGACAGGATGGAGCTAATGGATAAGCTTGATCCCTCGACAAAAAACTGGCGGGACCATGTCAGGGAGATGTCCTGATATGGAGAACTGCATAAACGAGTTGATGCGTGACACTGAAGGTGCCCATGCAAAGGCAGGATTATTAAAGAAGATGGCTTGGTGTCTCATGAGTTTGGGTATACGACATCAAATTACCAACTGGATCGAGGAGGTCAAAGTTCTCATGGTGGAGGTAAATGCTCGGCATGACAGATACAAGATTGATGAGTACATTAATTCAAGTCTTGGCATTATGGTCTGGATTCCCAGAGGTTGACGATCAACATGGAGGTAGAAGGTCTTGTTGGTGTTGATGGCCTAAGAGAAGAGCTTGTCAGTTTGTTGGCAAATTCTCAGAAGAAACTCAAAGTGGTTTCCATCATAGGTTTGGAGGTTTGGGTAAAATTAAGTTGCCACACAAGTGTATGATGAGACTGGGGTCAATTTAACTGTAAGACATTTGTCTCACTCTCCCAATGACTAGATGTGAAAAGCCTTCTCGCTAGCGTACAATGATCGAAGTCTTGGGATGGAGGATTCTTCCCATGCACACGAGCTACAAGACATCATTTACCGTCTTAGAGAACACCTCAAGTATCTATTTTTTTTGCTTCAATAAATAT